TTGGTTATCCAGGACTGTCTAGGATCAACATAGCCTAGATAGATAGTCCAGTTTCTCACGTGGGTGGGCACTGTTAGGGTTCAAACCTACACACTCACTATGTAAGTGTATTTACCCACGTGGGCTCGCGACGTGACCTGTTGTATCTTGAAAGGGCTGTCTGGGATGTCTTGTCCTGTGATAGTCTTGATACATACCCAAACTATCTGACCTGTTGTATCTTGACAGGGAACATGCACACACTCACAGAAACACCCAACACTTGCATTTTGTCTTCTTTAATAGACATATTTCTGCAATAAGTTCACCTCTGCATTTTCTTTATTAATATCACAATATGTGTATAAGCAACGAGATCTGATACATCACCACTGTCCCAAAGCTACGAACCTGATGAATGCATTTACAACAGTAAAGCCTAAAATATCATTTCTATTTTAACAAATTGAATACATCTGACATTTTCATTTTACCTTCAGTTCTGTGAGTCAGAATTTCACAGGGACTGGGAGAATCTCGTGTTAATGTATGAGACTAGGTCTGCGATAAATTCTTCTTTCTATTCTATCTGTCATTGGTTTTTCAGATGAGAAGGCTACAGACCTCTGTGAAGGCTGTGTGGTGCAACATGACCTCCCCTGATCCATTCAGTTTGGTCTCCACCACAACAGCAACCAGCCAGACCTGAGATCCTTGTACTGCATGTAGGGAGCAGGCCTATGGCACATGTTCAGTTTGTTTTGATGCCTGTCCACATGAACAAAGTTCACTGAGTCCCCAATCTTGATTTTCTTGTACATACTAGCTGCAGAGTTTGTTGTCTCTATTTTAAGAAAAGGTCCCTTTTTCACGCCTTTATGCATATAGGGAATATAGGGCTAAACCTATTTTTTTATTGACCAATCGGCACAAGATGGGTGATGTAGTCAGCATCACGCCGGCCACCTTTACTTCCCGGGACTGCTCCTAGTACCTAATTAAGGCTGGGTCGACCTGGGAGTCAAGTTCATTTTTGAAAATGTGTCTAGTCTGCTATTTAAAAAAGGGTCTACTACTTTCCTGTGAGTAGGTTCCCTTGGTTTTCAAGATTTTGTTCTAGATGGGAAATGTTGCAACAGATTGAAAATCTCTTAAACAGAAGAACAAATCACTTGATGAGTCATAGCTGGTACACTGATACTACTGAAATAAAACATACAAATACACTTGGACAAATTTTCATTCAGACTCATAATAATAATTGTAACAAACATAAAAGTGATATACTGGAATTGTGTTCAAGTTCAGTGAAACACTGGAATTGTTTTTTCACTTTTAGTGGAGCCATTATACTGTGAAACAAACAACAAATATGTGTGAACATCATCTTTGTATGCAATATTTCTCCAATGAAAAACTGATAATCTATTTAATGCAATGTTTAACACACATAAAACTGACATTCAGGATACCCTGGTTCTGGTAAGGTGATGGGATTTTTCTGTCAGGACAATCATAAATGTCAGAAATTCCTAACTTGCACAGATTGTAATGACTGTTCAAGCCATGCAGCACCAAATCCTCCAACTGTCCACGTCCCCAATCTCCATTTACATAATAAATACAAGAGCGGTAAAAAGCAGTTGAATGACAGTGACTTACTGAATAAAAGTCATGTTGTTCGTCTGATTAACAAATACAAAAATGAGAAAAACAAACAATCCCACCTGTATAATGAACAAAGACGGCACATTTGTGTGCCATGTGTGAGTTAATTTTTATTTTAAGAACAACTTACTCTTGATGACAGATGTAAGTTTGTGAGACTTAGCTCCCTTGTATTTAGATTTGTCATATATTTTAAACATTAAATATTCTTCAGCTTTGCTCAAAAATAAAATTAAAAAAAAAAAAAAAAATCACGAGACAATAGGTAATTTCACCTGAATGTATTTGGCTTTGAAATCTTTAACAACAATATTTTAAAACAACAAGTTGGCAGAATTTATTTACAATTTCAATTAACGTGTCAATAAATTTTCATACGATTTCAAAACTGGAAATGATGTTGCCGATTTTTTATTCTATATTCAGGTGCATAAATTTTGGCAATATCAAGGTTTTATTGCAATTTGTCATTTAAACAGAACCAACAAAACTGTGGAGTTTTGTTGTAAGGGACAGCTGCACCAGACACCTGGAATGAGCTTACAAATGGTGGCAGCTAGGTGATATGCAGGGGTGGTGGGCAAACTATGGCCTGCCGAGCAAGTGTTACTAGATGGTGAAAAGTGACTTGGCCCATGAGTTAACAAAACAGCAAAACACAAGTCTGTATGCAGACAGATAAAAAAATCCAAATATCAACATCCAAAAAGTGATAACCTAAATAGTGATAACCAGAAACTGATGTTGCCAAATCTGTAATGCTGCTAGTGAAACACGTGATGCGGACAAACTCAAACATTAGAAGACAGGGTCTGTTGGCAGATTTTGATAAGATAAAGCGAAGATCATTCTTTATTTTCTGAACAGGCAAATTTAGGAATACACAAGAGTTTCAGTGGGTGAGTGTGTCAGGACAGAGGCATAGCAAGGCAGTACAATCTTATATTATCCCACAAACAAAATCGTGTTACGAGGAAATCTGGGTATTATGTTTATAACAGATTTTTCTATATGGCCTAGGACCAAAATAATTTGTAATTCTAAATTTGGCCCATGGACCAAAAAAAAAAAAAAAAAAAAAATGTTTCTCACCCGTGGTTTAATGCTACAGATGTATGAAGAACCAGGATCGACCCCCTGCCCATCACAATCCACTGTGTGGGTTCTAGAACCCCATTTTTGAGGAAGCAAAGAAGAGCAGACTCACTGGCCCTTAACCAGCAAGGATTGTTTTTAAATCAGATTTATTGGGCTGAAAGGGATTGATATCACAGCCTAGCTGTAAACAACAATACAACATGCCAACCACCTTTCTGAAGATAAAACAGAGGACCTCACAAAAAACAGTGGGAGCTGTGTCTAATATTTCTGACATAATAAGTACCATGAATGAACGCTTCCCAAACAAGGGGATACTTGTCAAATGGTTAAATATCAACTAGTGGTAGGAATGTTGTCAACCAAACAAATCTCTTCAGGTAATGTTTCAAAAAATGCACCAATTACCAGGAATTAATTCATTTCAAAAAGTGTGTGAGTAAAAAGTAAAGGACCCTTCTCCACGTCTCTAGGCATATAGGGCACATGGGCTAGACCTATGTTTTTATAGACCAATCGGCACAAGATGGGTGATGTGGTCAGCATCACGCCGGCCGCCTTTACTTCCTGGGACTGCACCCGGTACCCACTCAAGTCTGGGTCTACCTGGGAGCCAACAAAAAGTGTGTGCTCTGTCTAAAGTTTCAGATGCGACAAGCAACAGAAATGAACTTAGCACAAATGGTGGGGGCTTGGTCTAATATTTTAGCTGTAACAGCCGCCAGGAATTTAAAAAAACACCACAAACATTGAGGGCCTGGTCAAATGTTTCAGATGCACAACTGACAGGAATGAATGAAACAACAAACAGACGGGGCTTGATCTAATGTTTCAGATGCTCCAGTTACCAGGAACTGACCTCAAACCGTGTCCAATGATACAACCAACCCCAGCCTATGAAGGCAGGCATGGACAAACCTTGCAACAGTTCCAACAGGAAGTTCACCAGCACAGATTTGACATTGCACAATTTACATTCACTATGACAGGCCGTAGAGTCAACATTATTTCTTCGTAGATAAATTACTGACTATAGGAAATCAATTCACTTCTAAAAAGCAATCATTTTATCATTACACTGGGGTTTGTGAACTCTAATGTTACAGAACTCTTTTTACAATAGCTTGCATCAAGAAATAGAAAAACACAGACATCCAACAGCGTTTGGACACTGATGAAAACTGGTTCATGAACAATATCAGTGACTGCAATACCATGACCTTTTAAAATATCACTCTGGTACAGACCATGAGGCGGACCAAGAAGATGGTGGAGAAATAAAGGGTAGACCTACAAACATTTGGAGTCACCAAGTGGACAGAAAAGGCCAACAGAGATTAATGCAGGTGGATATCTGCATCTGTGAACATCAAGGGCTCAAAAAGTTGTAGACGAAGACAGTGGTTTAGACAGAACAGTCAAGGCAAGGTTTCAGGAAGTTGAGGCAGGGTTTGACCAGCAAGAAGGTGGACAGAAACATTCATCATTCACTGTCATGTTGTGCCGTTATATGTCGCACACGGTTCGCAGTCTATTGTTTTATTTCGGTTTTATCCAGCGCAACCACTTTGATATCATGGATAGAATCCAGGCCAGCATCCTTGGCATCTCTCATCCCCATTCACCTCAAGGTTTCTCATGGACGCCCTCTTTCCCCTAGTCCATCTATTTCCATTTCTGTGCCTGTCTGGTGATTCTCCATTCATCTCTTCCCAGAAGGTGTCAAATATGTGCACCACCTTTTCTGTCCAACTGTTGATACTAGAGGTTGGGTTGCCCAGACATTTCTCTTATCAAAGACACCTTGGGTAGAATCAGGAGCTGTCTACATCAGACATCAGAAAACAATGTGAAGTAAGGAAACTGGCAAAAGGACGGTGGGTGTTTTCAGCAAGCAGGGATGACAGTAAAGTTCTGTACAGAACCTGCTACATGATGACTGAAAATTATTAGCAGTGCAGAGTATGAATATCTTTACTCCAGCTAACAATGATTGTGTGCTAACTAGCTCCGAGTGGGGTGCAATGCAGATTTTGAGGAACTCTTGCTCTAGAAGACACCAAGAATGTTATACAAACTTCACCTATGACCACTATCACATGGACTGGTTAAACAAACAAAAAAACATGAACATATTCTCTGTAGCAAAGCATATATTTCCCAAATTTACCATAAAATTAACCGGATGAAAATTATCAAAGGCTGTGTTTATTATACATGCATAAAATATCTATCCTAAGTAAAACATGCGGTTATTAATCTTGGGGTTTGGTCATTCGTTTGGGTCCTCTCCCCGCAGGTCCTTTTGGTTTAGCAAAGGCCTGGCGGACGGCGTTTTTCTTGGGATGTATTTCATCATAAATAAACTCCTCTGTTACTTCTGAGGGGTCGTCAACCTCGATCTGGAGAATAACAAAAACTGATGTCAATGATAATGAAAATACTGAACGGAAATGTATGTTATCTATAAATGTTTCTGATGCAAAATAATTAACCATAAGCTATCACATCATTTGTACTATGCATTGTGCCAGTATGTGTAGCTGTTCATGATTCACCAGCCTATTAGTGGCTGTTAATATGTTCCAGATCCTTGGTCACACAAACAAATTTGGTACTGACAACAACTGCAAGACAAACAGGCAAAAAGATGAAAAAGTATATCAATGGTGAGACGGCGGCACTAACCCTTTTCTCAACCTGGATACCAGCACGTGTGATGGAGTCGACCAGCGGGGACTTGCAGCTGGAGTACAACATCCTTTCTCTGATGGAGCATTTGTAGCCAGGCATGGAGTAGATGAATACTGCAACAAATCAAAACATTACACAAATTAACCCATAACCCATTTATTTTAAGCATCAACAAGACAGAGGAGGGGATGAGACTATTGAAGAGAACAGGACATAAAATGAAGACTATTGAAGGGAATGAAAAGGATAAAAGGAATGAGACATGAAGGGAACGAGACAGATGAAGATTAAAGGCAATGAGACAGATGAAGGGAACGAGACAGATGAAGGGAACGAGACATATGAAGGGAACAAGACAGATGAAGGGAACGAGACAGATTAAGGGACACAATACAGATGAAGGGAACAAGACAGATGAAGGGAACAAGACAGATGAAGGGAATGAGACAGATGAAGGGAATGAGACAGATGAAGGGAACGAGACATATGAAGGGAACAAGACAGATGAAGGGAACGAGACAGATTAAGGGAACAAGACAGATGAAGGGAATGAGACAGATGAAGGAAATGAGACAGATGAAGGACATGAGACAGATGAAGGGAACGAGACAGATGAAGGGAACAAGACAGATGAAGGGAATGAGAAAGATGAAGGACATGAGACAGATGAAGGGAACGAGACAGATGAAGGGAACAAGACAGATGAAGGGAATGAGAAAGATGAAGGACATGAGACAGATGAAGGGAATGAGACAGATGAAGGGAACGAGACATATGAAGGGAACAAGACAGATGAAGGGAACGAGACAGATTAAGGGACACAATACAGATGAAGGGAACAAGACAGATGAAGGGAACAAGACAGATGAAGGGAATGAGACAGATGAAGGGAATGAGACAGATGAAGGGAACGAGACATATGAAGGGAACAAGACAGATGAAGGGAACGAGACAGATTAAGGGAACAAGACAGATGAAGGGAATGAGACAGATGAAGGAAATGAGACAGATGAAGGACATGAGACAGATGAAGGGAACGAGACAGATGAAGGGAACAAGACAGATGAAGGGAATGAGAAAGATGAAGGACATGAGACAGATGAAGGGAACGAGACAGATGAAGGGAACAAGACAGATGAAGGGAATGAGAAAGATGAAGGACATGAGACAGATGAAGGGAATGAGACAGATGAAGGGAACGAGACATATGAAGGGAACAAGACAGATGAAGGGAATGAGACAGATGAAGGGAACAATACAGATCAAGGGAACAAGACAGATGAAGGGAACGAGACATATGAAGGGAACAAGACAGATGAAGGGAATGAGACATATGAAGGGAACAAGACAGATGAAGGGAACAAGACAGATGAAGGGAATGAGACATATGAAGGGAACAAGACATATGAAGGGAACAAGACAGATGAAGGGAATGAGACAGATGAAGGGAACAATACAGATCAAGGGAACAAGACAGATGAAGGGAACGAGACATATGAAGGGAACAAGACAGATGAAGGGAACGAGACATATGAAGGGAACGAGACATATGAAGGGAACAAGACAGATGAAGGGAACAAGACAGATGAAGGGAATGAGACAGATGAAGGGAACGAGATAGATGAAGGGAATGAGACAGATGAAGGGAATGAGACAGATGAAGGGAACAAGACAGATGAAGGGAATGAGACAGATGAAGGGAACGAGACATATGAAGGGAACAAGACAGATGAAGGGAACGAGACAGATTAAGGGAACAAGACAGATGAAGGGAACGAGACATATGAAGGGAACAAGACAGATGAAGGGAACAAGACAGATGAAGGGAACGAGACAGATGAAGGGAACATGACAGATGAAGGGAACAAGACAGATGAAGGGAATGAGACAGATGAAGGGAACGAGATAGATGAAGGGAATGAGACAGATGAAGGGAATGAGACAGATCAAGGGAACAAGACAGATGAAGGGAATGAGACAGATGAAGGGAACGAGACATATGAAGGGAACAAGACAGATGAAGGGAACGAGACATATGAAGGGAACAAAACAGATGAAGGGAACAAGACAGATGAAGGGAACGAGACAGATTAAGGGAACAAGACAGATGAAGGGAATGAGACAGATGAAGGGAATGAGAAAGATGAAGGGAATGAGACAGATGAAGGGAATGAGACAGATGAAGGGAACGAGACAGATTAAGGGAACAAGACAGATGAAGGGAACGAGACATATGAAGGGAACAAGACAGATAAAGGGAACAAGACAGATGAAGGGAACGAGACAGATGAAGGGAATGAGACAGATGAAGGGAACGAGATAGATGAAGGGAATGAGACAGATGAAGGGAATGAGACAGATCAAGGGAACAAGACAGATGAAGGGAATGAGACAGATGAAGGGAACGAGACATATGAAGGGAACAAGACAGATGAAGGGAACAAGACAGATGAAGGGAACGAGACAGATGAAGGGAATGAGACAGATGAAGGGAACGAGATAGATGAAGGGAATGAGACAGATGAAGGGAATGAGACAGATCAAGGGAACAAGACAGATGAAGGGAATGAGACAGATGAAGGGAACGAGACATATGAAGGGAACAAGACAGATGAAGGGAACGAGACATATGAAGGGAACAAGACAGATGAAGGGAACGAGACATATGAAGGGAACAAGACAGATGAAGGGAACAAGACAGATGAAGGGAACGAGACAGATTAAGGGAACAAGACAGATGAAGGGAATGAGACAGATGAAGGGAATGAGAAAGATGAAGGACATGAGACAGATGAAGAGAATGAAGCAGATGAAGGAACGAGACAGATGAAGGGAAAGAGACAGATGAAGGAAACCAGACATATGAAGGGACGAGACAGATTAAGGGAACAAGATAGATGAAGGGAATGAGACAGATAAAGGGAACAAGACAGATGAAGGAAACCAGACACATGAATGGAATGAGACAGATGAAGGGAACGAGACAGATCAAGGGAACAAGACAGACGAAGGGAATGAGACAGATTAAGGAAACAAGACAGAAACAAAGGACAAAAAGGCAAGAAGGCTAAGCAAAAGTTGTATGAGAGTTAATGTCATAACCAAAGGAACTGAAGCACAAGAAAAAATCTTAACAATAAATGCAATCATTTGGTAACAAGTATAGTCTATCTGTTAGTAAGTAAGCAGCGAAATCTTGACAACAACAAACTGCACCTAAAGCAAACATGGCAACACACAGAAAACACTTGTTCAGCTCCCTGACGGTGAAAACCCCCCATAAATTGGGACCCACTGATGTGTATCATTTTCCTCAAATATATATATATATATATATAGATATATATATATATGTGTGTGCATGTGTTTATTTAACGAATCATGTTTATAACCTCAGGGTAAGACTTTTACTATCTAGAACAGTGTTTCTCAAACTGGTTACACCTGTGGCCCACTTAAACAGAGGGAACTTGTTTCATGGCCCACCTGGCAGCTAACACAGAAACAAAAACACATTTAGACAGCGGTAGTTTTATTAAATGTAGTGTACACAAAAATTACAATTCTCAGTAAATGTGACACCTGCTGATGCTCAGAGGTTAGCAAATATATACGGCTGAACGGCATCTCCTGGATTTGTACGTGTATGTGTTGATCAAACAGAATGCAATCCCTGAAAAAGAAAAACTACCTAGCTGACCATGTTACATAATTAGGCAAACTTTGTGTCAACCTACCTGGATGTTTTCATCAGTTGGAGAACACTGATCTAGAATGCTGGGTCCAATCAGCGGATGTTTGTCCCCACAGGGGTTCTGGGGCCACATTTTGAGGGAAGAAGAAAACAGACCCCTGCCCTCTAACAAGCAGCTCATGAAAGGCAACTAATTAGGGTTACTTCTTTGGAAGTCAGAGTGCATCTGTCAGAGAGGTGAGGAACCAACGCAAACAAACAAGTTGAGCAACCAACATTGTGTACACAAACAAACCCAATCTGTGAAATGGATCTGAATGCAGACCTCAAGTTCTGGATCAAGACCAAAGTCCAGAAGTGGACAAACACCCAAAACTTACTGCTAGAGTTAATAGCTGGTGAATGCGAAGAAGGAAAACCTAATATCTGCAGATCCCTCTTATTCTAGAGCATCTGAAAGGATCCTGTAACCTTTAGTGGTCAAAATGAAGAACTTATGGCAAAAAAGATTGCATTCTAAAGCTGACTTTTTTGTGAGTAATTTAAATCAAGGACCCTTTAAATTTGTTTCCCAGACCACCAAATGGGAACCACTGATTGAGAAAATGTCCCCATGGTTTAGAATTTCCCCTACATATACTACCAAGGTACTCCTGCCAGTCTGCTGGCTAGACATCGACCTGGCTGCTTCCAGATACAAAGATAAGTGATACTGTGTACTTGTGTAGTACCGTCTAATTTGTCTATGTGCTGATGAAGGCTCCATAGCTGCAACGCTCACATTTTGTTTGGATTTGTTATAGTGTGAAGCTCGCTGATATACTTTTCGTTCGGGTTTATATCTTTCCTTCATATACTACCAAGAGAATGTCCCCAAAGTGCTTGGATATTTTACTGACCGACACTATCCAGAGAATCTCCCTCGTGTGTGTGGCTAAAGTTGAAAAGGTGATACCGGGCACTTTCTGTGGGGATGTGGGACACCAGCTTGTTGACGTGAATGTTGTCTGTGGTCTCCACATCCACCACCTCTTTAACAAGGTCTAGACTCTGTTGATGAAAAAAACAAATCATGTATGGTCATAATATTTACAAATAAAACATAACAAAACCTGCTAACAAAATACTGGTGGGGCAAGGTCAAAGTCACCTAAGTGATAAATTGCTGTTTTGAGAAAAATCACATCTGAACACTGAGATCCCTGAAATATCACATCTGAACACTGAGATCCCTGAAATATCACATCTAAACACTGAGATCCCTGAAATATCACATCTAAACACTGAGATCCCTGAAATATCACATCTGAACACTGAGATCCCTGAAATATCACATCTGAACATTGAGATCCCTGAAATATCACATCTGAACACTGAGATCCCTGAAATATCACATCTAAACACTGAGATCCCTGAAATATCACATTGTGTAGCAGCTGCATGAAAAGTAATATTTAATTTTGACCTATTTGAAGTATTAATTCAAATGTGTGCCTTTGGCAAATTGTAAAGTGACAAATAATGGCCCTGAAAACGCATTTAGGTGAAAATCTCCAATCTACAGGCAGCCTGTCTCTCTCCATCTTTCTAAGTCTGTCACAACTAAGGCATGTAAGTGCAGCCAGTTCTTAAGATGCTGTGACTTTCTCAAGCTAGATGTTGTGCTATCATTTGCCAGCCTTTGACACACACACACCCATATGATTAATATGATTTGCAAGGACTCCCCCCCCCCCCCCCCCCCCGTGCACTTTTTCTGCTCACAACACAGAGATATCTGTAAAGATAATCAGATGACCTGGGTAGGAATTGTCACAAATCAGCTGTTGAATGTATCATTCTGTTTCCACTCCCTGTCCAATGTAATTAGAACACTACACAAGTTGGATCTTTGCTCAGACAGCTGAACCCACTACTCTCTTTGCACTTTTAAATACTTCAGTCTTATCAGTCTGTGTCTTTAAAGAATGTGCCTTTGTCTGCAGCTACTCTGAGGTATCTCACTTGTAGCACTCTGAGACTTGTAGCACTCTGAGGTATCTCACTTGTAGCACTCTGAGACTTGTAGCACTCTGAGGCATCTCACTTGTAGCACTCTGAGACTTGTAGCACTCTGAGGTATCTCACTTGTAGCACTCTGAGGTATCTCACTTGTAGCACTCTGAGGTATCTCACTTGTAGCACTCTGAGATATCTCACTTGTAGCACTCTGAGGTATCTCACTTGTAGCACTCTGAGGTATCTCACTTGTAGCACTCTGAGGTATCTCACTTGTAGCACTCTGAGACTTGTAGCACTCTGAGACTTGTAGCACTCTGAGGTATCTCACTTGTAGCACTCTGAGGTATCTCACTTGTAGCACTCTGAGATATCTCACTTGAAGCACTCTGAGGTATCTCACTTGTAGCACTCTGAGACTTGTAGCACTCTGAGGCATCTCACTTGTAGCACTCTGAGACTTGTAGCACTCTGAGGTATCTCACTTGTAGCACTCTGAGGTATCTCACTTGTAGCACTCTGAGGTATCTCACTTGTAGCACTCTGAGGTATCTCACTTGTAGCACTCTGAGGTATCTCACTTGTAGCACTCTGAGGTATCTCACTTGTAGCACTCTGAGACTTGTAGCACTCTGAGGTATCTCACTTGTAGCACTCTGAGACTTGTAGCACTCTGAGGTATCTCACTTGTAGCACTCTGAGGTATCTCACTTGTAGCACTCTGAGACTTGTAGCACTCTGAGGTATCTCACTTGTAGCACTCTGAGGTATCTCACTTGTAGCACTCTGAGACTTGTAGCACTCTGAGGTATCTCACTTGTAGCACTCTGAGATATCTCACTTGAAGCACTCTGAGGTATCTCACTTGTAGCACTCTGAGACTTGTAGCACTCTGAGGTATCTCACTTGTAGCACTCTGAGGTATCTCACTTGTAGCACTCTGAGACTTGTAGCACTCTGAGGTATCTCACTTGTAGCACTCTGAGATATCTCACTTGTAGCACTCTGAGCCTATAGTCAGCAGTTCAAGAAGATACTGCATACCTGGTAATCTGGTAATTTTTAAGTTCAGCTTCATAGCAAACTGGTCACCCCATCTTTGCTCCGCTCCTGTGCCAACGAAAAACACACAGAATGTTTATCACAGTCCCTTGTGGAAAGACTGACAAACTGCTGTCTCAGCAAATCTAGCATACACTCGCATTAAAAGCATATGGTAGCCATCCGAAGTGCTAACACAAACAGTCCGACGTTAGAAATGCAGTTCATCATTGATGCTAGCAGAAGTCATTAAAAGATCAGCAGTTGCACACGTGATCAATTTTAATCAAATAATGGCCCCACCAAAATTGCGACAACCGGCATCGCGGCATTTTCTGAATCTACAAATCACACCACTACGTTGGTCAGTCGAAAAACATTCCAAATGAAATCCGCAGCTCACAGTGTCATGCCATGCACTCAACTCAGAAGCTGGGTATCGAAACTATATACTCGATTTCTGATAAGAAGTTCAGCCGTGTTTTAAGCTTCTCATAATAATGTTCTTCTTAATATTTCCCGTGGATGTCCTCTTTTTCTCAGACCATTTGTTTCCCAAGATTGTGGACCCATTAAACACAAACCAAACATCAGAAAGAAACGGAATAAACCAGAGAGACCTAGAAAAGAAAGACTCACCAACTGAACATAATTGACAGCTCCATCCCGGAAAGAGGCTAAGGCATGTTCAGCATTGGACGTCAGAGGAAAAGCCACACCCTGCATTGTTTGTGACTTGGTGTCGACGTTAATGTGTGCATTCACCTGGAAAGAACATTCAAAAGTAACAGACATAGATTCCTACTGACTTCCCTAACATGTACTCTTCTATTTCTAGTCACTTCTGGTAGAGCCACATCACCACAATGTCAATATATAAAGACATATAGAGAAGTAATCAATCAACACAGAGAGAAGCATTAAGTCAAATAAATTAATCTGGATGCTAAAAAAAAAAAAAAAAGACACACAAACAAAATGTACTGGGCGGCTCATGCAGTGACCTCTAGCACTGTGGCTTACGGGAAATTCAGCAGGGCAAATAATCATGATCTAAAACTCTAATATTGATTGTTTTCTTTAATGTCGTGTATTATTAGTCTGAAAAACTGTCTCTTCAATGGTCTCATTTTCATAGCCGTGTCATGTGATGAAATATGCAGCCACATTTCTGACTCTCCTTTTTAGATCCAACCCACTGACTTCCTTGGCATTCACTCTTCTAGTGAATGGAGACCGTGGACTTGAGAAACTAGTGGTAGGTTTTGTTTTATAAGGTGAGGGTGAACACTTCCTTCTTTGCCAACATGTGACAGAAATGAAATCTTTTACAAACATTTTCTTTAGCTGTATCTAGCTCACACACACAAAAATGTCTAAACAAGAACTGAGCTTAAACATCTACCATATCTCTGTGAATTAAAGAAAATGTTATATGTTAATTCCACCCCAGATGAATACTTTAACAAAATACTCAGACATATTTAAATTTAATGCATATCATCTTTCAACAATTTCTCTTCGAAGGCAATATACCATATGAGATCTGGTATTTCTCAGTTGTACTAATACTTGCACAAGCAATGTATCTTATGTTATTCAACTTCTCTGGCAAAATTTTTGTTTTATTCAAAATGTTTGCTGTTGCTAATACAACCTTAATTTTCTTCTGTCCCATAATTCTCAAAAACTGTATCCACTTAGCCACAAGTTATGTCACCATTTGATTACTCATTGTCTAACTTATGTATCCATACAGAAGCACTAGCACACACAAACTTTCACTAACACAGTTTAGGCACCAGTTATATTTCTATTATTCTACCCCTTCCAAAGCTAATATAATAACAGCAACAACAGATACATCCGAGCCTGCTGACCTCATTCTGTTTAATGTACTGAAGCTCTTCCTCTGCCATCGTGAGAGGGGCCGGGGCCAGCGAAGCCTGCACATGTTTGTGGTAGCCCGATAAGGAAACATCACTCTGGAAGAAATCATTTTAAAATGTACAAGAGTTAACCACCTTTGTGAAACAATAAATATTATCAAACATTTGAAAACTAGAATAATGATTTGTAAAACAAACAATTAAAAAAAAAAAGAAACATCATTAGCTTGTAAAATCTTGAGCCTTTTTAGCAACTTTTCACTTTAGCCAAAAGTGCACATAAACAGCATCTGCTTGAGAATCACTGGGACAATTGAAAAAAAGGATGAGAAACAAAATCAGAGGTACTCATTGGCACTCATAACTTCCTCTCATTATTAAACAAAATCTTTTCACATAGCACAGGTTTTTAACCAACTAAGGTAAAGCCACTTATAGATGTCATCACCATCTTGTTGTGCCCTTATACATCAGGGAGGACTCGTAGTCTACTGGCCATTCTGTTCTAGGTAGACTTTATTTACTATACAGCCTATGACTTGGAAGGCCAATAAGAATAAATAGGAAAAACCTGACAGATATAACCCAACATTTTCACTACAATATGTTATCATCAAATTAAAAAAAAAACAACAACAGCAACAACAAACATGCACACAAATGGGAGATTCAAGTAGAGAAAGAACTAGAGCAGAAATGTGAAAAACAGGAATAGGACGTCCATTATTGCTTGCATTTTTGCAGTAAAAGTCTTGTAAAGGATGTAGTAGCCAGTGGCATGTCAACTCTCCTTTAGCTGCCGTCACAAGAGTCAGTCAAAGCCTTAGGTCCAGTTACAGAGAGACAGATGAGAGTTAATGGCACTTTGTTTTCTGCTCTTCTTTGAGAAAGTTAGGTATATAATCTAATAACCCAGAAAACAGGTGGGAGTATAATGTTAGAAAGCTCTGTGGGAAAATGTAACAGATCTTTCACATGCTATACACACAGTAGGCATATGGTGCTAGATTAATATTGTTTCTAAATCAACCTGATGGGTCAACAGTGTGCCAGAAAAAAACCAATTAGTTTTTTTTGAAGATTCTGGGCAGATTTGTCAGTTGTGAGCCAGAGGTCGGCACTGAAACATAAGTCATGTAGTTGGTTATTCAATCATGCATAAAAACTCACCCGCACTGTCCCAAATATTTCATCTTTGATCTGACCACCACCAAAGAGAGATTTCATTGTTGCTCGGGTGGCTGCATACAACATTTTCTGTCTCACCTGAAAGGAGACACAACAGGTTTCTACAGTTATAACATTTGACAACAGAAGTAAGCAACTGTTAATATCTACTAACAGACTTCAGCTTGCACTGGCTTTTACTGAAATAAGTTCTAGTTAACGTCAACAATAACTTTGAGAAGTTGCAAGTCAATGTTAATATTGATAAATAAAAAAGCTGTACACTGACTATCTTTCTCTACTGTCCGCTATCCTTATACCACTTTTTAGGGCAGTTTTATCAAGGATGACCTAGGGCCTGAATATTTGCATGAAGATTTAGGACTGCAAGACTAGTGCAGTCACTATGAATTATAAAGGCTGGAAATTTATTTTTGCCCCTGAAAGAAAAAAAAATCCCACCTTAACGAGGATCTGAACCAGGGTCTCACAAATGATGGCCCAGTGTTCTTAACTACTCGGCCCAGCCAAAATGCATGTCATCAGGATTGTCTTAGCGTTCACCGGCTGTAAAGAAAGTTCTGGTTCTTCATCCACTCCTGGACATTGGTTTTGATCCAGAACTTCAATTTCACATGTACATCCATTTTAAAGATCTGGTTTATTTGTATGCAGACTGTTGGTTCTTTGCCACTCAGGCAGATGCACTCTGACTTTGCAGAAAACACACCAAACTGTCAGGGGTGGAGGTGTAAGCTTTGTTCTCTAAAATGCAGCCTCGAGATTCATTCAGTCATCAAACACAGCTACCACTGTTATAATCAAGCATTCCCATATTGTTGTTGTTGGACCGTTCTGTCTTTCCAGTGTTATACTGTGCTTCAGGGAGACACAGTGCTTTAGGGAGACAGTGCTTTAGGGAGACAGTGCTTTAGGGAGACAGTGCTTTAGGGAGACACAGTGCTTTAGGGAGACACAGTGCTTTAGGGAGACACAGTGGTTTAGGGAGACACAGTGCTTTAGGGAGACAGTGCTTTAGGGAGACACAGTGCTTTAGGGAGACACAGTGGTTTAGGGAGACACAGTGGTTTAGGGAGACACAGTGGTTTAGGGAGACACAGTGGTTTAGGGAGACACAGTGGTTTAGGGAGACACAGTGGTTTAGGGAGACACAGTGGTTTAGGGAGACACTGTGCTTTAGGGAGACACAGTGGTTTATACCTCATCTTTCTTATCTTAAATAAAATTGCAAAGTAATAAATGTCACTTTTTCACAAACACATTATAATTACAGGCGCAAAGTCTGGCGTCCATGATATTAACAGCCATTCATAGCCTGCGTTGTTTCTGGAATCAAATCGGTACAGAATATAGCAAGGCATTTTATCATCGAGTAGTGGTAGGATCAATCGGTCATAATGTAAAATAGTTAAGGAAAGATTAACATATTTTTATGGTTTTTTTTTTAAATGTGAACGAAGTAATAACATTTGAAAATACACACAAGATATTTAGGAATACATAGAAATTATTTAATTAGTTATCCACGCTGATTTATGTATCCACTGCCACAGAAAGGCAGAGCCTAGCATGGTTTTCCTCTGACGAGGAGTTCAAATCTCCCTCAATAATGCCGATTTTCACCACAGAGGCAACCACCCCTCCCAAGTCAAACCAGTTAAAAAAAGACAATGTTCAACACAGCTTTTTTCTTGAATCACACCGACTCCAATTTTCTACTGTGCTGACATGTTATAGTATACTGTTACATACAGACAAGTGACTGTGGGTATTCATGTTTGTTAAGTGCAACAATGGTTGCTTATGTAGCGTGCTGATGAAGGCTTTTTAGCCATAATATTAATTGTCCAAACATGATGATGACAAACTGGAGCTGCCTAGCTGTACTTCTCAATTTGACCGATAATTTCTCAGCCAAAAATGAGCATCAGGAAAGGTCAATGTTTTTTTTTTTTTTTAATCGATCACCGGCTGTGAATTCCAGTGGAAGGTCCCGGTTAATCGTCCGCTTGGACTTTTGGCTTTCACCTGGACCTGATTTTTGCGTGTACAACCGTTTTTCATTTCCCTGCCTCATGGGCAGCTGTACTCCGACTTCGAAGGAAGACGTCAGGCCTATTTCTAGGTTGACTGTGGCCATTGTTTTGTGTGGGTCGAGACGTTGCCTGATTTGTGTGGTGTCCACTTTGTCTCCTCCGCAGGTATTGCCCTCGGAGTACCCCTTTGGGGCAGCCCCCTGTGGAACAGTTAGCCCTCAAGGAAAGGCAGGGGCAGATCATGGGCATTCCCCGCCATCCAAGGAGGCTTCCATGCATGCAGAGCCGGCACATGGCGCTCTGGTTCTGGGCTCACCCAAGGAATCGTCACGTCCTGCACATGCCTGCTTAACCTCACAAACGTATCAGGCCTCCCGCTCGACAGGGGCTGCGCCCTCTGGAAGTCAGCGGGGAGCAGCCCGTGGGTTTTGGACTTTTGTGACCACACAGATAGGTACATTCTTTTTTCTTCGCACGTTAGATTTCTTTGACGAGCCGTTAGCCCGACAGAATTTTACATCCTGCATCAGGCATATCGTTATCAGTTTTGTCCTAACACTCGGGCGAGTGGTGTCTTTGGGTGTGGACATTCGGTCTTTTTCAGTTCAATACAAATTTTGATGGTCAGATTTTGATCCGTATGATCTAGTTTTGTCGGACAATTAGGATGGTTGCTGTTGTGGTGTACCTCAGCGCGGTGTCGACGACACTGAGGGTTAACCGAGGATGTACACGAATGGCCAGCCTATGGATGGTTGCTGTTGTGGTGTACCTCAGCGCTGTGACGACGACACTGGGGGTTAACCGAGGATGTACAAGGATGGCCAGCCTATGGATGGTTGCTGTTGTGGTGTACCTCAGCGCGGTGACGACGACACTGAGGGTTAACAGAGGATGTGCAGTGAACAATGTTCTCTTTACTCCGCAGTCTTCTAACCAAGGGTTGTAATTTTGGCTGTACGTTTGGCAAACCTACTCATGTTCCTAATGAGTTTTGATAACATTTTTCACCCAAGCGTTTGGGGGCGGGCTGATGAGAGCCACAAGGACACATCACCTCTGGGGGCCGCCGAACTCCGAGATCACCTGACAGCTCTGTTAATGCTCATTTGAGACATTATCCGTGGCGCACGACGAGGACGTGCTGTAGGGGTCTTGCGTGAGGTTCCGTACAACCAGGATAGTTAAGGACTGGCGCCCGAGTGACGTACGGAGTATCTCCTTATACACATCATGTTGGACTTAACTTCCCCTCACGCCTGTGACATAAATAACCGCGCCACAAGGTCAATGTTGAAGGCTGAATTAAGAATCGACATCATAGCACTCAGGCCACTCACATAAGTGCTCTGTCCTCATCTTCAGCAGCAAACAAAAAGTTCAAATTCCGATGGTGCCAGTAATTTCCTCATTGCATATCCGTCTCGCCTTTCCCTGGAGTGTTGAGCGTCGGCCAGATTCCCTGGTAACCCCTAGGAAAGGTCATATCAAAGGTAGGCAGTTAGTAGGATATTGATCAGCTTCCAGTTACAGTACCGACTGGTCTAGAAAAGTATGTGGTCAGCATGATATACCCGATTCAATACATCTCTGTCCATCAACTATCTCCTGTACTGTTGATCAGTTCGAGTATAGTTGCTCCTTTCCTGTCTTCTTCCTCTGCAACTTTCCTGCCATCACCATGTACTCTAGTTTTCTCCTTCTCATGAAAGAATGTACAGTTGTGTTATTCTGATGTTGGTAACTATCTTTTCTTGAATTTTTTAAAAGACATCCTTACAATTTTACAAACATAGGCGCCTGTGGTTTAAGCGTTGTCCGAACAGGCTTTGCTATGCCAGGGTGCCTGGTTGTTCCCCGCTGCAGCCATGAAGCTGATTTCGACAGCCGACTGTCCAGAAAGCAGTGGCAAACTACTGAACGTAAACGTGCCTAGTAAAATCACAGCCAAAAAATGTTGGGGTTGGTCCTTCAATGCCCTGTATAAGATATGAAAGTAAACTTTTGTTTCTTCTCTTTAAAAACACCTCATCATCATGTACCTGCTGATAAGCATAGGTGACCATGTTTCACCATCCTGTACGATCATAAGAATCATAGGTCAGGTCAGTGGTGTTGTCTCACCCCATTAATATGACCAAGTTATCCAAGTATTTTGTGAAATCATGACTATTCTTGACATTTTGAAGAAGGTAGTCTGCCATTGCTTTCCATCTTGGCATGGCCATACACTGTTACTTTAGGGTGAACCACTACCCACTGTCAGGGAACTTAAGACCATGAATAAACATGCTAAATAACTGGTATTATAAATAAGTGCCAATTACTGCCTTTACTATACGACTTCTGTGGTGTAGGCAGGGGGGTCTTTGAGCCTGAGGATTTATGGCCCAATAGCTAGTGCTGCCGCCATGGACTGTGCAGGTGAGAATTTTATTTTTGCCCCCGACAGAAACAATTCCCAACCTAACCAAGAATTCGAACTTGGGTCCCCCGTATAAGAGCCCAGTGTTCCAACCCTTCAGCTGCCCGCTCCTCGGTATTATAACTAACAAAAGAGAAAATGGAAGAAGCTGTAAGCATCATAAAAGGATATCATCTTCCCATGATCCGTCTGGTTCACTTGAAGTAGCATAGGAAAGCTCTTCTGAAAATGAGAATAAAAACAGGTGTAAAACATGTCATAGATAATGGTGAGTGTGCTTGCCTGTCAAAGAGTGGCCCCCGGTTCAATCCTCAACTGATAAACCAGTTTTTATTTATCCTGATGAGCACAGCCCTTGAGTTGTCCAAGCTGGCACAAATTGGAAACAGGCAATTTAAGATTATTCTGAAAAAGGTCTAGAAATGAGAGCAACAACCTGAAAACTCAACTAGTAGGCCATTGCATAGACTGGACTTCTGGCCAAAATGGGCAAATTTTTGCTTTTGGAAGATGATGGCCACTCAAGTTTTCCCCATTTATAGACTGAAGGTGGACAGTTTTGTTACCCAGCTACTGAGTTAAGTGCATGGCACGACAATGTGAGCTGTGGATTACTTTTAAAATGTTTTCCGACTGTGACCAACGTGATGTTGCATGAAGTGGCCTGTTGTCCCAGAATTGGATTACCTTCTGTGATTAAAATTGTTCGCGTGTGCAACAGCTGATCTGTTTGTAACTGTTGCTTCCATCATTGAGCAACTGCATTTCAAAGTTTGTATCAGCTGCCATATTCTTTTAATGCATGTGTATGCTAGTGGATACACAGAGACTGCAGTCTCTGTACATTTGTCCAGGGACAGTGATGGTCATTCTGTGTGGAGCAGCTATGGGATGACCCATCTGCTATGAAGCTAAAACTAAGATAACCAGATTACCAGACAGAATACATTTATTGTTCTGATGTAGTGGCCGAATGGAGCCAGACTTCTTTTTTTTATATGACTGATTCCCAGGTTGACGTTGACCCTCTCTTAAATGAGTACCACGGAAAGTCCCAGGAAATAAAGGCGGCTGGCATGCTGCTGACCACATCACCCACTGAGTGTCATTTTGATCTATAAAATACAGGTCTAGAACTATATTCCCAATATGCATGAATGTGAGGAAACTGAACCTTTTTTCATCTAATACCTCAATGCCAATAAATAATATGAGACTGCCTTTATCTCATGTACCTATCAGGCACATTGCAGTAATGGCGAGAATACTATTAATTTAACCGATGAACTATTACTTCTTCTTCGTCTTCATTTGTCATCTTACTAATGATACCAGGTTGTAGCCCAGTGTCGTGGTTTTCTGTATATGTCTTGCACTTCTCGAGTGGCTTGGATGATGGATTTGTTCAATATTTTTGCAGGTTTGAGCTACATCATTTCTTCATCTCTTTCTTGGTCTCCCCCTTGCCTTCCTCCCAGATGTTCCGCTGCAAAAAGTCTCATATGCAGTTTGGTCTGCCTGCATTCTCAGTAGATGGCTGAACCATTTTATTCTTTGTCTGTCAGTATAATCCAGAAATTCCGACTTTCCCTCTAATGCTGGTATTTGTAACCCTGTCCCTCCTTGTGTTGTTAGTGACCTTGCAGAGACAGCGCATTTCACATGAAGTTATTTTGTGTTCTGTTGCCCTATTTATTGTCCATGTTTGACACTGATAGCATAAAGTAGGGATGAAGATGCTATTACTAATTTGTTGTTTTGCTGGAAGGGAGACATTTGGATGGCTAAGCAGTGGGGCTAACTGGTAGGTGGCAGCATTTGCCTTGTGTACTCTGGCTTCTGTCTCTCTATCAAGTCTGCCATCCTGCGTAAATATGCTTCCTAGATATTTTGAGTTCTC